CTGAGATAGGTGCAGGTTACAGTTCTGCAGACCTATAACCAGGAGCAGACAGAATAGGCCTCCCTGACCAACTGTTTTGCACGGGTACAAAATAAAACAGCAGAGGGGCAAGAGGCATGGCTGAATTGTGTTAAAAAGGTACTTTAAGAACAACACTACTAATGAAAAAGAGGGAATCATCAGGATACCAACTGACTTTCAGCAATATATTTTATACTTTTAACAGAAATGCTCTATGTATTTTTCATTCTGCAACATTATTCACATATTTAATGTAATTTTATTCTGAAAAAGTATTCCAATATTAGTATTTACCTAGCATAAATGTTATATGATTAAAAAGTAAATGCATTTTACACCATTATTTTTAAGTGTAGACAGGCCCACTTGGTGAATCTGAATATCCCCTGTACACAGTTATTTTTCAAACATAAACATGGAAAATAAAGTGAAGATTTTTTGAGACACCTGTATTTATCACAGTTTTGTTGCATGTGACACGAGGTACGTGTAAGGAACCAATCTGTCCTCTGTGGTTTATGAGTAACTCAGAATGAAACAGCATTTTGGTTTTAGCCATTAGAACATGACTTGGAGCTCCTGATGGAGAATGTCATACCAAGTTTACTCTGCAAGAGTCTGGAGTAATTTGAAGTAAAAACAAATTACAGTGGAAGATATACAAGACATGCTGACATCACTACAATACAATTTTTCAATTCTTCTATTAAGACTGCAGGAAAAAATGCTGGTCCCAGTACACGCAGCTAAGGGCTGGGAGACAGATTGGGAAAAAATGAACTCAATGTTGCCCTCAATTGCTGCTTCTTTTACAGCCACAGAGCAGCAACCAAGTGACACCATAAGAACTGCCGTAGGTGGCAATTCCTACTGCCAGTGTGGTGATTCAGACAACAGGTGCCTTACAGAAAAGTGCAAGCAGCTTTATTCAATACTCTACTGGAACTCCAGCATCCTTGCTACTCTTTCTTTCCTTTAACCTCTTGTTTGCTTCAGGTGTGTGACTAGAGGCCATTTTAATTCGAAGCCATTTCTGTGAGCAAGACTGATCTCATCACAGAAGTGGCTTTACTCTCTCCACCCTATGCACTGGACTGTAGTCAATTTAAAAGTAGACTGTAGACACTGACATTGCCTGCAGTTCAAAGGGTAGACACTAGATTTGATGAAGTGCTAAATCCTGATCAAGAAAAAAAATACAAGTCAGTGCTTAAATGTTTGTGCAAACCTTAGGTGATATTAGATTGTTCTAACAGCGTCTAATCACTTGCATTTTTCACTCCAAACTTGGGGCATTTCTGTATCTGCTGGATGTCAGATGCTTTTGCCAACTTTTGACATTTCAGGGCTACCAACACAAGGGCAGCAGCAGCAACCCTTTGGTTTGCTTTATTACATGGTATTTCTCCACTACTGTTGACCCATCCAATTCTTACAGTAGTAATTTTGCCTTGCCTGCAACACTCCTTAAATAATGAATTGTCTGAAGCTAAAGGTAAAAATGTAGTTGTGTTTCCACAATACATTGTTGCACTACAAACACTAACTATAACCAACAGAAACAGCGCAACCAGATTTTGCAACAAGTGGGCATAAAGGCCTTAATGCTGCTCTCTGGTATGATAATACCACTTTAGTCTTGCCCATATAAGATTTAAACCACATTTTCATTTCCACTACAGATTAAAGAAAAAAATAATAAAATTTGTGTACAACAGAAAGTCTGAAATAAGAAAAGAAAAACAACCACAAATGAAACCTGTTCTTATCGCAAAAGCTGGTCCTGAATCCAAAGACCAAGCTATTCCTTTTGAGTGCCTTTCTGGATCTGAGAAGGGTAGATCCAAACCTATAAACCTCAAGCTCTCTGCTTTTAGGCTAAAATGAGGCACAGCTGATGTCAGAAGCATGACAGCTTAATACTTTATTCATGCAGATGCCTAGAAATAATTTGATTTTGACTGAGTTCTGATTACTTTCAAGTCCACCTTACTTGGGATTTAATCTGTAGGTGTTACTGTAAGCATAGCAGCTGGATTGGGGTCTATACAAAACACAGAACAATCGTGTCTTCTGGGGGAACTTTTAGATATATATGTATTTTAATAGAGAACCTCCTCCTGTATATGCATTACTTACAGGTATTTTTATCTTCAGTACATCAGTCAGCAGATAAGCAACCTGCCCTAAATACTTCCTTAACAAACTAAGCAAATTTGTGACAAAAGCAGAATTCTTTGAGGGCCATTCTTCTTTCCCGTCTTAGCCTAAAGACAACACAGAAGGCTCCTCTCCTCTTTCATTGCTACAGTCAAAGAATCTACTATGAGTTTCTAATCATTCCAAAAGGAATACTCCCATAAGAAAGGGTTGCACTGCTAATGCCCAGTGAACTTCCAAAGAGCAACAGAAATTTCTCTTGCCTCTGAAGATTTCAGACACCAATGCAAAGCTATTATGTGCAACTCAGTACCAGTGCTGTTGAATCTATACTACTGAATGGGGAGAGAAAGACAAAAGACTCACGTCAACTGTTGCAGTTCAGTGTTTCCAGAGAACCTGATTCATGTATCTCTCAGCTTGGCTGAACTGCAAAGCAGTGCATCCTGGGCATCTATTGAGAACGCATGACCAGGACATCTTTTTTAACTCCTTCTCCTGTGTCCTGTGACCAATATTTAAGAGATCACCTTCACAAAAGTATTAAATTACCAACAGGTTACTGAAAACTTCAGACAGTTGTGAACAGGATCTCTAACAAGCTGCTTAACAAGAGGTTCACTTCTGCCTTGAAGACGTGTTACCATTATGATGCTTCACTGTGTTGCTTTGCTGACATAATTTTACTTAAAAAACTACATTATGTTTTATCAAGAACTTCTTTCATTTCCCCTTATACAGCAGATCTTCAAAAATGAGCACTTAAAACTGCAGCTTTCAAAGACTGTTGGAGCCTGCAGGACTGAAACTTCTCTATGGCTGCTCTTGAATTGCTCATGTGATGATTAAAGTAATGATCAAGCAGTTCAGATCCAAAATGGAAAATGGGATTTCTTCCCACACCCCACTGGTTTAAAACCTACAAGGTAAAAATTAGAGAAGTGGAGATAAGGAAAAATAAGAGGAACTTAATGGAAAGAACACAACAGGAAACGCTCTGGATGTAGGCACAGGAAAACTGCTTTGATACAGGAAGTGCTAGAAACTCTCCTCTGCCAACTTTGGTATAGGAGTATATCAGAAATGGGAGTGGAAATGATGAAGGGAACGGGAAATGCAGACATACAGTTTCTCCTGCTGCCTGAACTCAGGGAACATTCAGGCCCAAAAACAGCTAGTGACAAGTTATGGTATCTGAGGTTTCTGCAGATGCTTTCCTGTTCTGAAGAGTCAGATAATCTCTTTTTAGATGTCTAAATACAGATTATGGAGCTTAACTTTCATCAGTCATGTTTGGCTTTTATTGACTTGGAAGAGTTTTCAGACTGAAACAGCTGCCAGGCCATCACCAGATTTGTGTCTCCTACTGTGGGAATATAGAGGAATGGACAAATAAAGCAAAAACTTAACTGTACTTAAAAGTCTCTGTCTTAACCTATTAGTGACCTTGTTTTGTTAATCCGAGCCTACTGACATAGTAATTCAGTTTTCCTTATATCATTGGTGCATAAAAGGTGAGATTTTTATACCCAGCATTATTAGCGAGGCTTATTTTGGGAATAAAGTAAAACTTGCCAGATGTGACATGAGCCTTTAAAATCCTAACTGAGCAAGGAAAAAGTGTTTGCCTCACTGGACCAGGAAAGTATGCAAGACTTCGCAAGATATGAGATTGCATTTCAATGAATCCCTTGATTTTTGGGTTACATTCATGTTCATCAGCAATTAACTACTGTCAACACACACCTATGTCAGATTGATGGTGAAACGTAAAGATGTATACTCTTGTAAAGAGTAAAACCAAGTGTTTTTAGGGAAGAAAACTTGATTTCTTTATTTAAAGTATCAACCTAGTTTATTATTCTTTTAAATAAAATTTTACTATCTTATTACACTGTTGTAAAGAAGGCTGATGGCATAAACGTTTGCTACTCATGGAAAACATATTTCCACTGCAGCTGTAAGCCACAATGTCTCTCCAATACAGACAGAAAAGTGTGTTGCCTGTTGTGCTGATTTCTTAAAGAATCTTTGAAAGCATCTGCTTAAGGTCTGGTAGATGCTACTCAGCTGAGAGTGTAGGAGTTTGGTAACCTGAGGAATATCCTCTGAGGACATTTAGGAAGAAGTGTTACTAGTGTCATCATTTTATGGCAATTGCAGACTTCAGTTATGTTTAATGGAATAATTTCTTCATGCCAACAAAAATACTAAGAGCACAGACATTTGGATTTATAAAGAGAGGATCTGCAATGCCAACTTCACATTTTTTATTGCACAGCTACAAAGCTGACGTTTGCCTGCCTTTGAAATCAGAAGTGTTTAGTACAGTGCTTTGGCCACACCGTTTCCACAAATCAATCCAAATCCATTTAAAATGCATTCTGTTAAGTGCTTTGATGGAAGACAGAGTGGAACTAAAACACTAAGAAAGCATCTTTCCTTCTCTACCCATAAACGATAAAAGCTGCCAGACTGAAGGCTAAGTTGGAGCCATCTTCATCATGTCACAGTTCTCCTGCTTGTCTAGTTTCTTCTTATCAAAATACTTGCCAGCTTTATTTCATGCTAAAATTTGCATGCAACAGACACTCATAAATCTATAACAAAGAACCTATGGAAATGGAGTTACAGATTTTGCGTTTTACATCCTTACATCCTAACACTGCAAGCACAGATGCCTCCAATGACATAAAACATTTGGCATAACCCAGCTTACGATCAAGTCCATATACCTGTACAGTTTCAGAGCAATAGTGTAGCATGCATATCCAGAACATTAACATTGTTGTATTTATGATAAAGGTGTACATACTAACCTGCCAAGGCCGATCCCAATCAAGAGGAATAGGAAATGCTCCAAACCAAGCTCCAAGTATACTGCACACAGTAGTAATTTGCAAACTGCTTTCCCAGATGGACATAGCTCTGTAAAAACAGTGAGTTACAAGGTTTCAACAGCAGCAGCAGATCTGATTTCTCCCAAGACTTTTCAGACTACAGATATAAAAATCCGTATATTTCATAAACAGCATTCAGGTTCCTCCTAAAAGATACAAACTACATACAATGTCAGTTGTGTATTTTAGCTATAAACACAATCTTTGTATACCACACATTACTGCACCCCAAAGAACTCTTGCACTGCCAATCATGACTTCTATCATAAGAGATGTTAGCGACTTCAGTTCTCAATACAGCCTACTACTACTACTGACTCCAAAAGTTTAGGAAAAGGTGGGTTTCTGTTTAATAGATAAACACTTATTGCCTGTCATAGTCTTCCAAGTGATTGCTCTGCTTTTCTCAAACCATGGACATTTGAGTACTTGGTACCAATTAAGAAACAACAGCAGAAGTTGAGAACAAAACAGGGGACAGTTCTGAGACAGGAGAATTGGGTTGAAATCCCTGCTTCAGATATGGAAGTTAAGAGGTCTGAATCTTAAGTTTGCTACATCTCAGACTGTAAATGTACATTTAGCTTTAGCTAACAGAAGTAAAAAAATAGTGGGTTTATGACTAGAAGACTAGTTGGATAGTAAACTCTGAATTGCACATGCACTGCTTAGGTTGTATGGCATGAAAGCTTTAACCCTACACCTTGTTTTGAAGACTAAAACTTCTGACTGCTTCTGAGTACACCTACCTCATGGCTACATTTCCTACTGACCAAAGGGCTCACAAGTGTAAAGCAAACATTTTTCACTGTTTGCTAAATAAAGGTCATACAGATTATAATATTTGTGGTGTAACATTGACATTTTGAGCAGAACTGTTTCTTCTACAATAACCCCATCCCTTTTAACTTAAACTACTCCATTTCAATTCACAATACGACCAGTTTGAGATTCTTCCCCCCTCCCAAAGGGAAAGGTCCTGATTTAACTCAAAACTGTTCAGGAATCTGCACATTGAAAACTTTTGTTGATTATTTTCAGAAGCTGAATAACCAAGTGGAGAGCTGCCAGGCAGCATGGTCAAGAGAACATCCCCTACAGCCTTAAAGCAGTGAAAGAGCCAGCAGAATATACTGAGGACTGACTGAGGTAGATTTACACCCCACAAGACATCTTATCTGGTAAACCTACACACATACTGCTGCACCATATGGAGATATCAGACTGAGTCCAAAAGCAAAACAACAGAACATGCAAGGCACAGTGCCCAAGTGAAGAGCAGCCATTGGTGGTTTGGCAGCTATTTGCACTGCTAATCCAACCACTCTGCAGCATGGAACTGGCTACTCAAATACAACTTGACTTGTCCTCCAACATTATCCCCAAGGAACAATGTTTTGATTACTCTTTTCTTCATGGAATGTCAGCTATTGGGATTTTTATAGGTTGTCTTTAACCCATTAAGTCATCACATAAATGCCTCATTTGCATGAGGCTAATAACTGCAGCAACATTTATAAACTGAATTTTATAGGTTTATTTATTTAACTGAATAAACTACAACTAAGACCATTCTGCAGGCAAAACTAGTAGTATTTAAGATAAGAAACGTTCACTAGCACCACAAAGGCCTTTTAAAGTCTAAAGTAATTATTTAACCCCTTTAAACAATACAATACATTAAGTACTGTTTAAATAATGTTTGAATTAAGAGGTTAGCTAAAAGAATTTATTAAAACAGCTCCCGGATAGAGAAGACCTGGAAATTTGGACTGCATCAGGACTCAAATACTAAGGAGGACTTAGTATTTGATGCTGCCTAACTTTACAAAAGACATTTTCAAGTATGAGTATGCAGTTCACAAACAAGTGATAGAATAGGTGAAAAGACAAGTAGATGGAGCCCTGAAGTTATGGGATTACACTATTTTCAGGCAAACTCCAAATAAAACGTATTTCCTACCCAGGTGACATCTTATAATTGCTATCATATCATAAAATTCAATGAAATTACTCAGTGATTTGAAATAAACAGTCTTCAAAAGGAACAATAAAAATCAACAATTGAAAGCTTATTTCTTAACAGGCTCTTATGCATGAGGCTATTTCAGCCAATAGTTACTGAAAAGCCATATAAGAATAGACACCTGCTTCCCTCAGTGCCGATAACCCTCTCTGTAGCTTCTATTTCCCTTGTTGCATTTATAAAGGTACTATTGGATCATCTGCAAGATTCTCCCTGTACAGCTCAGCCTCAGGTCTCCTCTTTAAGTGAGAACCATCATACTGACTCCAGAACAGTTTTATACCAGAAAACGTGTGTTTGAAACTTTACTTTCTTCAAACACATACAGAAACCTAGAATGGTTTGGGTTGGAAGGGACCTTAAAGATCATCCAGTTCCAACCCCCTGCCCTTTTCCTTGTCAGAAAAGCTTTCCTAAGCCTGTAATTACAAATATGAGAACCACTCATAAATTCAAGAAATTTTCCTTTCTTTAAAAAAACATAAAATTCCATGATCTATTGTTTACCTCAATTCTGTCCATTTCTTTTTTGGGTAAGATCAGAAACTTTAGAATAGAACTTACCCATTTTTACTAAATACCCGTATCCACGCTTGGATGTTTGGTCCCAGCATACACAAGCATTGTAAAGTCGTAAAGGTAGAGAGGAGAACTGAAAACAAAAACGTCTCAGTCACTGACCTACGAAGAAGGAATATTACAAAATTAAGTGAGGTACTTACTAATTTTCTGAGAATTCCAAAGTAAAGGACTGGCTTTTGTTTTTCCCTAAAAGTCAACTTGTGAAAATATGCATGATTTCTTAAGGCTCATGTAGACGAATAAATGACTTTATTACTCTGCAGAACAGTAAAGAAAGATGGGAGGAATTCTGGTATCCGTTTGTTATCTCAACCAAGACTGAGATGAAGCAACTATTTTAAATACCTAAAAATCCCATGGGTGTACCTCATGCAGAACATTAGTTCTGAAGTACACATGGATATTTACTTCATTATTCCATTTGTTTTTCTAGTTTCACATTGCAGAAGCAGCCATGAAACCAAACTATGTGATGCCATTGTTAGTAACTTAGCACCTCCTTCAGAATAAAACACTAATACCAAAGAATGAAAGATATGCAAGATGCGTGTTTTAGAGTCTTCTGGGAAAATGACTAAATGAAACTTGGAAAAATGGCTGCACCTGTATGCTTAATGGGTAATATTAAAGTAAAAGCAGTTCCATATAACTGTCTTGAACAACACATCTCCAAATACACAGAAATTGTAAAAGCCAGCTTCTATAAATAAAAACCCCAACAAACAAAACCAAACCCCAAACAAAACACAACCCCCAAAAGACCCCCAATCAGCAACCCCACCTCCAAACTAAACCAGCTACCCTTCTTCCCCCAGCCAGGAGCTGATCCTTTAACCTTCAACGTACCAGGAATATAAAAGTACTGCTACCAATATCTGCAAGGAAAACTGCCCCTTAAAATGTTTAGAGAAAAATAGGGTTTTCTGACTTACCCTAGGAGAGGTGCTCCATAGAGAACAATAATGGCATGAAATACTATGCAAGACATGAAAAAGTATATACAGCATTTTAGAAATCTGGATATCTAAAAAAGAGCAATAAGGTATCAGAATAATGTTGCAAAAGAAAAGAGAACATAAGTAATGTACACGGTCTATATCTTATCAACAGCACTGTACTCTACCCACTTCTTTAACTTCAGCCACAGCGAAGCATGATAATAGCATGGCCTGTGTTGAAACGGTTTTCCCAATGTCTGATACTTCAAATAATCAATTAAAAATGATTACACTCCATTTAAATTTTTTTGACGTACCCTATTATTATAAACATAACAAAGTGTAACTAGAGATGACAAGATAAACAGAGATAGTTTTATTGGGTATTTTTACACTTTTACATCCGAGTGTTAAGTCCATTCATTCAAAGACATCTTCCACAGAAAGTGAAAACAATGTTTAAAAGAAAGAAAATATGTAACACTGAAAAAATCCAACCACATTCGGAATCAAATCTAATACTTAAAAATTACACCAAATAAAAACTACATTTTGAGCTTGGTTTCTTAAATTCTAAATCAATTTGAGAAATGTCCATGATTTTCTATAAATCTGCAAAAGACATTTAATTTTCGATGAATTTAAACCATAGTTTCACTATATCATCTAGATATAGTTTCACTATATCATCTTGAAGCATACCCACTTGGCAAACAGTTCTAGTTAGATCTGTTCTGATCAGGTCACCAGTGGAAACCCACGATTTCCCTTAAACACTTTTTAACAAATATTTATTCCTTATGTTAGGCAGGGTGAAAGCTCACCTAGAACACAAAACCTGCTTCCTTTGTAAATTGCAGATGGTTAAAATACTTGTTTTCCATGGTGATTTTGTGTATTTCACATCACCCCCAGTCAGCCAAACAGAGGCTCTGCCTACAAAGATGCTGTTTTCAGGGGTGTTTGCTTAAATGTTGAAGACTCACCCCCTCGGAGCACTAAATCGTGTCCGATTCAGAAAGCTGGGAGTGCAAGGCTGCCCTGATTACAAAATGCAGGTGTATTCCCCGACTCCTGAACAAGTTGTGTGCTGCTGCAAATTCACCCTGATCAAACCCATTTCATCAGGATTCATACTTCTAATTCATACTTCTAATGCTCCCATTACAAACTGTAACTAGAAGAGTTTATCCCAGATTTAGATTCTTCTGCATGCAAGTTTCATCATGCCAGGAAATTTTTATACTTTTCCAAATAGCTTTTAAAAACGTACCAACTTTGTTTAAATTGTAATAAGCCGGCCTCTTTTTGGGGTCTCAAATTCTAAAAACTACTCTGCCTGTAAAATTATGACCAACTTAAAACTACACATAAGAAAAGCACTTCTTCATCAGGCTGAAGGTCAGGCCTAGGCTCTGAAATGAGTTCTGCACCCATTCACTTATGCCAGGTTTTGCCACCATATAAACTGTTGTAAGATCAATGGCTGGGACTACAAACAATATATTGACAAGAAAAGGGAAAGGCATAGAAACGCTTGCTTGAACAGGTTATTTACAGGTAGAGAAAATGCAGCATCCTGAAAACATTGGAGAACTCATTTCATAAGGTGCTACACTCAGCTCATTCATGGAAAACAAGAATTCACCAGCAAAATTGTCCTTTCTTTCTGATTTGATTATTACAGTGACAGCATTTGCTTTCCCTCCATACCATCTGGTAGGAATTTAACATTAAAAATCTTACCTTGTGAGCAAGCGAACTTCTCTTAGGAGAACGATTTGGCTTAAGGACTAAGTGCAAGATTACATTAACGGTACCAACGCAAACAGAACAAATACACAGCCACGCGAGGTGTGTTCCCAAGACCGTGAATCCGTCCCAGAGGAAAGCCGGAACAACCGCTGTCAGAATAACCGAGAACACGCAGAGGAGATTGGCAGCAAAGAGCCTCCTTATTTCTACTTCTTTCATCGTGGTACCGGTTAGCCAGCCCCCTGCAAGACAGCAAGCGCGTCCTGGTACTCAAACGCAGCACAGGCACCACACGGTAAGGTTTTGCTTTGTCGCCATAGACAAGGCAGAACTCTCAGCTTAGTTTGGGGATCAAACTGATTACTTTAGGGCAGAAGAGTGTTATTGGTTTAAAAACCCCACTGACACCGCACAGAGTAGGCGGCCTGCCCCGGCACTAGTCACCCCCCTGCCCTACACAAGGGGAACCGCCTCAGCGGCCGGGCCGCTCCCTCTACAGGGCGGGAGGCGGCGGTGCTGCCCGCTGACAAGCCCCGCTCCGCAGCACCTGCTCCGGGAGGCGAGGGGCAAAAAAGGGGAGGTACCGGGCCTCCTCTTACCACAGCGCTGCCGCCGCCGCGGGGCCGCCCGGCGCCGGAAACCGGCGCTATAGAAACGTCAGTTCCGGGGAGGACCCGGAAGTGGGTTGCGGTGTTGCTGTTGTGGTGGGGAGGCCGTCATGGTGTGCGAGAAGTGTGAGTGCGGGCGGGCCGTCAGCGGGGGTCCGCTGAGCCCGAGGTGGGCTCGGGTTCGGCTCGGGTTCGGCTCGGGCTGGACAGCCATGGATCCCGGGCTATATAGGGTGGGCTTTAGGTGGCGGTTCTAGGGGTGTCTGGAGCTGTCGTTCTCCTATAGGCAGCATTTGGTGCGGGTGTTAATGCCATATAGCTCTATTGTTTTCCTTGTAATCCTTCCCTATATAGGTGAGAAGAAGCTGGGTACTGTAATCACTCCTGATACGTGGAAAGATGGTGCGAGAAACACGACAGGTAACTTTGGGGAGGTTTAACGCTTGTTTTTCAGGTATTTTAAAGCTAGGTGGGCATCTTGAGTTGTCTTATGATCGTAAGGGTAAAATATGAAGTAATTGGGTTAACGTCTAACTTCCGTAGTTTTCCTTCCGTTCTGATTTAGTCCCTGCCCAAAGCAAAGGGCTGGAACTGGATGATCCTTGAGGTTTCCTCCAACCCAAACAATTCTGTGTTCTGTTCGTTGGGAACTTATTTATTCTGAGCTCTTCAGTGGTGAATTTGCATGGTTTTCTCCTTGTATGGAATAATGATATGCAGGTGCAATGTAGTAAACTATTTTGTTGTTCTGTGCTTTAACACTGTGCTGGATGCTTTATCTCTTCTTGTGGCATTATTTGTAGAGATGTAAAAGCTGTAAACTGTATGCTTTTTAAAGTATGCTTGGAATAGGGGAATTTACTGCTTTATGGCTTTATTCTGTCTGTAGAAAGCGGTGGCCGCAAGTTAAATGAAAACAAGGCATTGACATCAAAGAAGGCAAGGTTAGTATTTAATACTGTTCTTGGCTAAAAAGACAGTTTTCTGTAACTGAGGCCTGTTCCCTGCATTTTTTGGCAACTCCTCAAAACTTGTCCAAAATCCACCTTTTTAAAAAAAAAAGGGGGGGGGGGGGAAGTAGGAATTATGACATTTGATCACTTGGCAAAAGTATGCCCATGTGTATTTCATCGATACTTTCTTCTGAATTATAGAACATGGACAACTGTTTTGCTGCAGTTCTTACTGACATTGCTATGGTTTGATGCTTTTGTTAGCATTGGAGCCAAGAAGGTCTATTTTCTGTGCTAAGGCAGCTGGTGCAACCTCTTGAGCATTTTCTTGATGTCCGGAGGGTGTTCTGTTATGTAAGGGGGCAAGGTGCTTGAAGATGTTCAAGTTCAAAAGAGTATCTTAATTGAAAGGCACATTAAAAGTAATCCTTGTTGGAGTTTCTGTCTGTGCCCTCTGGCTTAGGCTTTTGAGGATGAGGAGGAAGACATACTTTATTTCAAGATGTGTATATAAACTACTTGTCCTTTTTCCCAGGTTTGATCCTTATGGAAAGAACAAATTTGCAATCTGTCGGATTTGTAAGAGTTCTGTGCATCAGCCAGGGTCTCACTATTGTCAAGGATGTGCCTATAAAAAAGGTAAGTTTCACAGAGTACCAAATTACCCCAGTTTGATTTGAAATTGGGGAGCTAGTAGAAAACTCTTGAATTGGTTTTGCCTCGCAAAGAAAAGGCTAAGATGAGATTCAGTTGCTGTCTTCAACTACTAATAGGAAGGCTTAGAGAAGATGGAGTCAGACTCTTCTGAGGTGCACAGAATAGAGTAAGAGACAGCGTACGCAGGTTAGAATGTGGAAAATCCTAATTAATTATAAGGAAAGCAGTTTTCACTGGGAGTGTGGTCAAATATTGTAATCCCAGTGACCCTCAGAGGCTGTGGAATCTTTACATGAGATACCCAGAGCTTGACTTGAAAAGCCCTGAGCCAGCCTTATCCAAGTTGGTTGTGTTTTGAGTGAGGCAAGGGCAAGAGTAGAGACTGATGGAGATCTTTTCCAACCTAAGTCATTCTGTAGTTCTGTTTCTTTTGGAATGTTTCTCCTATCTAAATCAGTAGAATTAGAAGAATAACTGTAAGCCTAATCTCAGCAATTGCATAGAAAACTGTTATCTAGCAAATAAGATTCTCCTTAGTTTAAAAAAAATAGCAAGATTATGTAAAACTCAGTTACTTGTTGCTGTCCCTTTTCTGCTCTCTTTTTCCCCTCTCTCATTTTTGCAATAGCTATATTTAAACCTCTAAATAGTGGTCTCATAAACCAAAAATTCCTCAGCCAAACACCCTAGATCCACACCCCCCCCCCCAAAAATCCCAAACCACAAACCAATCACAAAGCCAGCTTCTGGTATTGGTAAAGCAGTAGGCTAGCTTGAGAAAAGTAGAATACGTAGGGAATAAATGGCAAAGATAAAGAATAAACTAAGTTAAAAAAGCAGATAAGAAAGTGTCTCTGAAGGCAAATCATGCTCATGGGTTTGTGCCTGCGTGTTGTATTGAACGTTCAGTGGCTTAACATAAGCCATTGAAAGTTTTATTTCTCTAAAAGGAGTCTGGTCCATGGTCCAGTTGCGAACATGCTTGATGCATTGTAAGTCAAGCTTGGCTTAAGGTGAAACTGAAAAATCAAGAGTAATAATAATAATAATACTCATGATTCCTATAAAGCAAGACATTGAACCCTGCAGTACATAATATATAAAATTTTTCTGTACATGTGAGTTATGTGTGAATGACTTCCCTGAAATTCTGCTTATGCTTGGAAGCTTTCTGTCTCCCATATTAATTATAAATCTTTAGTATTGTTAAAAAACTTTTAAAATTCCTGAGGAAAAAAAAAAAGTCAGTTTCAAGCAAATTTGATGGGAGAACCTTAAAGATGTAGAAGTTTTACTAATTTTGTGATTTTTTTTTTTGAGAAGGTAAGCAAAAGGGCTCAAACTTGTAATTTCTGGAGTGAGGGAAAAAGCAACATAAACTCAGTCACATTATTAATACCAAGGAATCTACACAGCACACTGGCAGGGGGTGAACCAGTTGTTAGACGTAGAGCTACAGCTAACGAGTAGTAAGTTTTGTTTATGAAATTACTTTAATTGTTCAATAAATGTGTACTGTGTCACTAAGTCAGTGGTTTAGCAGCCTGCTGTAGGAGGGTTGCCTTTTCTAGCTGCTCACCAGATGGCTGCTTGAATCCCATGTGGTAGAACCTTGTTATGTTTCTTAAACTTATGTCTGGTGTGGGTGGGCTTCGGCATTTTGTCTTTGCTTGTGTATCCTTCCAGCTTGAATCTGGTTTCTTCATAAAATTCAGAACTCCCAAGTGCTTGAGGCTCTCGTCATGACCATCAGTGATATGGTTATGGCATGGTTTTTGGAGCAAATGCAGTCATATGGCTTAATGCGTCATCTGTTGCATCTCCAAAACTGAGAGGCAATCTAAACTTAATTACGTCTCAATTTAGAACTGAAGTGACCAGCCTGTGGGCTCGATTTTGCTCTCTGAAGTAAATCACAGGGCATGTTCCCTGTTCTCTTTCCTAATGGGCTTTTAGTGGGTCACATGATGTCAATATATGAAAGCATATGATTTGGAGAAAGTTAACACTTGACATCTTGTTTTGTTTGCTGATGAATGGTCTTGTAAAATGCGAAGTGACCCTACCAGGCAAAAGATTCAGCACCTTTCTTTAGGTGCTTCAGAAGAAGAGGCAACCCACCTCTCTGCCCCTGCTGAACTTGTGTACTTTTTGCTGCTTTATTCTTCTGACTTGCCACTCCTTGGGTTTAGGTCAAAGCCCTCTGAGACATCAGCAGTCAGCTCTTGAGTGTTCTTAGTGTCCATTGTCACTTTTGGTACTCTAAAAACGGCTTAAGTTTACAAAACTGTTTTCTTCTCAACTTTCTCAATTGTCTGAAGCTCCCCACTTCTTAATCTTGAATCTAGCAGGCAGTTTGGTGGTAACTGTATTTTCATAGCCTCGCTACTTTCTGTCCGTCTCAGGCCTCGGTTTGACTCCAGGACTTGCAAAGTTAAATAATGGACTATTTTTAAGTGATGGTATTATGCATATGCTGTAAACACTAATTTGTATGAAAAGTCATATTATTACTTCTGAATTTGCAATATCTGGTGAGAAAATACAGAGGTTGTCAATGAGAGCTCATATAAATAAGTTTTTAAAACATCTTTACAAAATAATGGCAACTATAGTTTGGAAGGAAAACTTGAATGATTTTAAAGTAATTTATACACCTTTTGTGTGCTTGTAGGCATCTGCTCAATGTGTGGCAAGAAGGTCTTGGATACGAAGAACTACAAGCAAACTTCTGTTTAATTGTTTTGACCAGTCTTTTTATAGACTTCAACTTCTGTGTCTTTGTACAGTATTTTTTCTCTGAAATCATTTGTGAATGTTACTTTCTGGAAGGTAATGCAGTTACTTGGAATGAGATGAGAGGTAAACACAGCCTGGTGGCCTAGAAATGTACATAATATTTGGTTTGGGTTTTTTTTCTTGTTTTAGCACTAATGTTAACTGGTATTTAAAGGTAATGGTTTTCAGCAACTGGTACAGTTCAAACTGAAGGAGAAGATCCTTGTGAATAGGTTGAAACTATCGTGACACAGATCTTGAAGATTTACAGTTTTATTCTTTGGATGTATCTTGAGTCTTTGCTTGTCTGATATTAATATTTTATAGATGTATATAAAATACATGCTTGTATCACCTCATTGAAGTAGTATCTTCATTTACTTCTATGCTTATAGATATTTATAATTCCTCTCATCCCAAACTATTGCATCCTCCCCTTTAAATGAATGCAGTCGTCCTGTTGATTTTTTCCCTTTTTTCCACCCTCCAGTAGGGCTGGTTAGATCACAAATTGCTAAACTACTGAAGTCTAATGTGCTACTCTGCCAGTTCTTACTTTGGCAGTAAGACTGATCAGCTGTTCCCTACAAGGTATAGCTTCTAAGGAGCTATTCTAAGGAATAGCCTCTAAGGAGGCTTTACGTACAGCATCTGTTGGCCCAAGGCAGTAAAATAATGAGCATCAATTTCTAATGCCAGCTTTCAGTCTCATCATTTCCTAGGTTCATCTGGCTTTTAAATACTTGGTTTGAAACTGGCTCTTGAATTTTATGATGTAATTGCCTGCATGCATGTCAGATCTGAAAGGTCAAGATCTCTTCAGCACTGGTTTGATGTAAGACTTGAAGTGAGCTTCTGAGCATGAGGGATTCAGTGTGACTCTGCATTTCTTTTATTCTTTGTTAGCTTCTGCATAAGAAAGCAGTTTCTGTTACGCAGAGTAGCAAGTGTTGACTGTGCATGCATTTTAAGGGAAAAGAATGGTACTCATAATTCATAGACCTATTTAAGTGTGTCTCCTCCCAGCAATCTCCTCTCCACAATCTATTGTGTTTCTGCAACTTTCTTTCAACTGTAACAAAAAAACTGTTAATGGGAATTTCCCTGTTAATAGATACTCTGGTTTAGGTTTCCTTTTATTCTCAAATCTGTTACTGAGAGAACTGCATGACTAATGGGAGTCTGAAAAATCACTGTTCTTTCTGTAAGTGGAAGAATAAAGAATGCAGAGCATATAGTTACTCTTTTAGCTCCTGCCATGCTGTGATTATGCTGTAAGTAGCCCTCTAAAGGGTTGCCTGACATTTCCTGTCACCCTTAACTATCCATTATTGAGCATTTGTCACCAAAGTTTCTTGTGCTGAATGTGTTGACATCTTGACATCCTGCAGTTGCTAAAATGGTAATTCTTTTCAGCAGTTGGTATTTACTAAGAAGCTGTGTCAGGGTAATGGAATGAGCTAGGTTCCCAAGAAGACAGGAATGCTGCTGCTTTTTATTTTAAAGGCTTCACGTACCTTAACGATTGGAGGTATGTGGATTAGCTAGCTGGTAGCCTACAATGTTACTTCCGTGTGGTGCTGGATACTCGTTTCCAAGCACATTAAGGAATTCTACTATTAGTGTACATCTCTGTGGCACATCCTTTGTATGAATGAGAAGAAAATGTCTATAACTGACTTTTTTGTTTTGCAGCAATATCTCAGCAGTGTCAGGCGGCAGATTCTCCCATGTTTTCTGAACTCTTCACCCTTTTGTGGGTGTGTTCTATAAGATGGATTGATTTTTGCTATTCTCTGAAACTTCTTGGCTTCCTAAAACTTGCCAGTATCTGTATTTCAACTGCATGACTTTGTAACCTTGAATATGTGGCATGAATTGAATGTTTAATGCACTCTGTAAATATTGGCACTGAACGAACTCTTACCTCATTTTGTAAGTGATTTAAGAGCAACGGGGATTTAAATAATACAGTCTTTATTCAGAAATAGTTTGTGACTAGAGCTTGTATGCACCTGTATCCTGTTAATGGGCAGCTGCTCTTGCATGTTAGAATGTATTTCTGTTGGAAAAGGACACTTTTGGGGTTTGTTTTGTTTAATAGTGCATATAAACAGTGGTTTGTTGTTCAAGTGGTTTGTACGTGCTTGGGATCTTCCATCTGTAGCTCTCAAACCTTCTTAGCTTTATGAGAGGTTCAGCTCCTGAGAGCTGTAAAATTTGCTGATGCAACAGTCACATTTCAGAAAAGCCTATTTCGCAAGCATTGCTTTGGAGACACATTTGCTTTAGATTTGGATCACAAGCCCTCTCCTGCTCCTTTGAGATGCACCACAGTTCAAGGCAGTCTTGGTAAAGAAGCACTTAAAGTGAGCTTTTAAACTTGGATACTCCTTCAATATATTGAATTGTCATATAAAGTCATTTTTGTTGATAACTAAAATTGTTTTGTTTGAATGGGATGCCTTTCCTGAGACATTGTGCAGTGAAAAACAAAATCTGCAATGGAAAGTTGCCATTTTTGTTTAATGTACTGAAAAGAACACATTAATGTTCCCAGATGAGACAGATGACCAGACTGTCCTCTAAATTACAGGTTACATAAGACATTTGTGCTGCCAAATTGAGTAGAATTAGAATTTTCCTCAGTAGTGCTGAGTTCCTATACTGTACTTGCTGTTTTTGCATGTTCATTGGCCAGACCTATTACTGAGCTAAGTATAAGCAATATTTTGAGGCAGATTATAGAGAGAAAAGAACAGATTAACTATAAAAATGTTACTGTGCCTGTAGTAGCTGGTCATATGAAACCTGAACAGGGGCTATTGAAGAGTCCTTGTGTCAGGGTGTTCTCCTACTCATGTCGTTTTTATTTTGTTAGGTGTTTTTTGTTTGGTTGGTTTTGGTTGGTTGGTTGGTTTGTTTTTGTTAAACCTTGTGCTGGAAGCTGGAGGAAGGACCATCCAGGACAGTCATACAGCAATACTCTTCCAAGGCATTAGGACTACTTTGATTGTTCGTGTGTAGAAATAGGGCAGGATTTTTCCCCTCTTAGGTTTACTCTGCTCATTATCAGAAGGATAGCAAGAAAAACTTTGTCATGCACAGGGATGTCACTGACAACTTTGCATTCAGTTTTTCTTGAGAATGTCCCAGACTCGCACCAAAATATCTTATTTAGCAAAATAAAAGATCTAGAGATTTCAGATGGTAAGTCTGTCGCACCTACATGCTTGTTCTGGCATCACTCCTGTCATCAGCTCATCTCTTCACAGTGCCTCAGACTGCACAGATATTCCAGTTCTGTATCGGCTGAGCATCACTCTACCCAGAGACACTTAGACCTGTGCAAATCTGCTTGACAAATTCTTGGCAAGAATGACTTTGTGCCTTTGTGTTGTCAGTGGACATAAGAGCTATGTGCAAAACATGAGAAAACAACAGACTGAAGTGAAGGGCTGCTTGAAGTGGTGCAATGAGCCATGTTGATACAATTTTCTAATACAGAGCTGGAAGTTTCCCAGCTGCAGGAAGAATCCCCAGCATGAGAGATTCATTATTCATTAAAAGGCAGTAAGCCAAGAGCTGGAGCTGTGGCTCTTTACATCTGCTATGGCAAAACTTAATGACAGGGCCTCTACAGTGAGAGAAAGATTCTGGGGCTAATAAAGTCTTTAAAAACCCTTCAGACAAGAAATTGTTTTCCCTGGATTCAAGCTGGGCTTCCTGGTCTCCTGTAAGTATATATGGCCTAAAGATGGGGCCCTCTATCCTTTGCTTTGGATGTTGGAGAATCCATGAGTGTTTCTGGCAGTGTTGCTGCCCAGTCTCTGCCTTACCAGTTGCTTGACTATCTGCTCAGTGCAGATACAGCTTTTGCTTACAGTATCTTACCAGATTGGGGTGCAAAATGGAATACTGGTGATAGGAAATCTCTCCCTGAATATCATGAGAGAATGAATACATTGCTGCATTGCAGCTGAGGTTTGCTATTAAGCAAAAATGTTTGTTCTCCCAATCATCAGATTACTAATGACAAAGCCAAATGTTTCTTCTACTGAGGATTATAAATGTGCCTCATGTGAAGACTGGTTGGTTTTGAGCTGCTTATCTTCCTCCCACACTTGTGCTTTTATGGCAGAAGTTATCATCTGAAATTAATCAGAAACTGATTTTTCATCAACTTTGGGGGGGGTATAGTTCACTTTGCAGGACTTGCATGAGGTATACATGTGTTCATCATGTCTTGACTAGTGCCTGCAGAAAACACGAGCTCTCTATTGATAAGGAGCCCACTAAGGGCAACAGGAGCAGATGTGTTGAAGGAACCTGGAACTTGTTTGAAATCTTGCCAAGAAGCTGAAAGAAGAGCAGAGTGGAGCGTTCTGCATGTGGGTATTGCTGGTAAAGATTCCTTTCTTAATGGTTCACAAGGACACTTCTGTTGCTTACTGGTTTTCTTTTTGCCTTGCTGCCATTCATTTGTGATAAATTGCAGGTAGATTTTTCAGGCACCACAGAATTGATGGCCTAAAGAAATTACTGTTTCTCCCTGTCTGTGTCTGCATAGAAAGATATGGGCTGAACTTTGCAATGTCAGTGATTCATTAAGCACAAGCACTTCCAGCAAATGCACTTACTATATACTTGTTTGCCAAATGGTGCTGAGAAAACAAATATTGAGGTTTTATTTTGTTGTTGTTATATTTTTTCTGCCTCATCATGGTTCTGATGATTAAGTATCGGTATTGTTCACTGTTTCAGATGACACGCAAACTTACAGAACTCACAGTTGTCATTTTCTAGTGGCTAATAAACCTCATCACAGGCATCTGAAGTATATCGCTATCATTCCAGTCTTCAGGAAACATTCCTTGCTGTTAATTTTCTGTTACTACTTTTGCTGCCACAGAAAGTAAAGATTTGAAGTTTATACAGCTCCCAGGTAGTGACATGTTCAAGGCCCTCAGTGACATGGGTCAGTGGTGGCCTTGGCGGTGCTGGGGAGCAGTTGGGCTTGATGATCTTAAAGGTCCTTTCCAACTTGTTTGATTCTGTGACTCTGATATTTTTAGTGCTTTTCAGTAACACGTCAGTGCGACTGAGACTCTGTTGAAAGGCACGTCTCTCAGGGAGCTGGCATCTACCCCAGTCCAGCTGTCATCTTTTATTGATTACAGTGTTTAAATGCTAATTGGATTAAGCAAAGACTTTGACATCTTAAATCTCTGCCTTTCTATTGAAGGCGCTTGAAGGAGTGATGGCATGACATTTCAGTGATGAATAGCTTCCTTTTATGGCTTCCAAAATCAGTGTTTCCTAAAGGATGGGAAGTAAGCAAAAGCGATTTAAAGGAAGAGTTACTCTACTGATTTCCAGA